TTATTTCTTCACGTATTTATGAAGATAAATATTGTTCTATGGCCATAGAAGATAAAGTTTGAATTATTTGTAGCTGGAGGTTTGACCTTGGGGATTTAAATGAGTAAGGAATGAAGGTGAAATATCCTATTGTTGGTTAAGGTGAAATATCCTTTTGTTGATTGGTGTTATGATGATGCTCATTTATCCTGACTAGTCACTACAAGTATAATTCAAATTTTATTGTATCATGGAAATCTAATATATGATCTGTATATATATTTATATATATATATATATATATATATGTGTGTTAATCTTGATTATAAATAATTCTTTATATTCTTTTGAATTATTGTATTTATTGGATATTGTTCTCACTCCTCTCTTTTCTTTATTTTTAAAATTAAATATATTATAAAATAGATGGATCTACTTAGGGTTCCAGATCATTTTGCAGTTGTTATAGCTGTTGTCTTCCTTGGAAGGAATTGGAATGTGGAGGCTATTTGATGAATCTATTATAATTTTATTTGTTATTGTAAATTTATTCTCACTATCAATGTAAATATTGTAATAGAAGTGAAAGAAAGAAATATTGTGTAAAATAATACATTATTGTAAATATTTTAGAATGATATGTTTCAAAGTTAAAAAAAAAAATTAATAAGTGATTTTAAAAAATGAACAGATGTTATTTTTAAAAAAATATATATAAAAAAGCTACTTATTTCAAAAAAATTAAATAAAAATACGAAAAAGTTAATCACTTATATAGTGTAAAGTTTTTTTACACTGACAACCAATCACATTTTTTAATAATATCATGTTATTTACTTATTTAATTAAATAAAAATAAATTAAAATAAAATAATTTAAAAAATATAATTAATTATCAAATGTAAAAATCTTTATATGACAGTGTATCTCAATATGAAAAGGTCAAAGTGTAAAAAAAAAGTTAAAATGAAAAGGATTCATAACCGGTGCAGTTCGTTATTTACTACAATAAAAGTCACGTCGCTTTCACGCTAGATTTTTCGCCCCCG